AAAGCCAGTTGGGAGACAATGATGTCCAAGATTTCCGGTTTCGTTCAGTCAATGGAAATCGAAGGCGGGTCGATTCCTCGGTCCACCGAACTTCGGATAACCGAACAAGTTCTCTTCAGTCAGTTTTCTTCTGTTTAGCTGCGTGGAGCTGATACGAGCTATCCAACCGAAAGTGACATTGAGCTCACTATCGTCATCATACACGATTCACCTTCAGCACGCAAATCTCCGCTCGACGGGAGCTGTCTCGACCCTGAAGAGTATATGCGTACTCAGCTGAACGGAAAATCATATCCGCTCTTGGCGGTACTTATTCTGCCATCCGTGCTATCGAACAGAACTCGACCGCGTCGTTCTCAGAAAATGCAGAATCACGCAACGCCGCGCTCGATACCATACGGTAGTGTGCCGAGCTGGTGGGAAGTACGCTTAGCGTAAATCATCATCGCAGATAGGAGGAAAGTTTTTCGAAGCTACGCCGAGCTTCCCGTGAGAGCGTGGTTTCAAGAACGATGCGCCCAAAGCTCCGGTGTATGTACGACGCGACGTTGACGACGACCGAGACGACTGGCGATCATTAGGCAGGGCCCCTGAACGAGTGTATCCGCGCATGGAGCGACGGGAACCACGGGGAAAATCAACCGCCAGCACGTCAGACACTGGCCGAGTCGGGAGGCTTGGGAAGTGCGTTCTCACTCACTCGGCAGTCGTTTACAAAGTCGAACATCGCGCGAGCGGGCTGAGTTCGAAACTAGAATAGTTTGTTTCCGTAATAGCGTTTCCATACAGCCGGGATGCGTGTTCACCGGTTGGCGATGAAATTCAAGCGTAGTTGCGGGTGGAGAAGTATTGTGTGCGTCTGTGTGCGTGCGAGTGAGCTTCCTTGCGAGCTGCGTGGATCTGGTATGGCCGCAATTGCTTGCTCCAGTTACCGCGACTACAAGTGCGGAGAGGGTCGCTCATTCGTTTGCTTGCTAGCTAGCTAGCGAGGCTTGGTCCGTTCATCCACGCACACACACTTACACACTAAGGCTAACCCGAATGCAACTACAAGTTACATTCAAAGTTAATGACATGCGGCCCACTCTCATCTCACCCACTGCTGGAAATCTCCCACCTACGCCAGAAGCGCAACGCTCTACCAACACCGATACGGGTCCCTTCGGTTCTCAGACTTCGAGCGGATTCGCTCCGAACTACCGGCTAGCGGTACGCGACCCTGACTCGAGCTGCAAGTTGTTGCAACGCCTCCTGGGCACGCTGCTCGATCAGCGCGGATCGCTGTCGGGAAAACACTATGGATCAGAGAGCTTGAGCGTCTTCTTAGCCCGATCGATAGGCAGCCTCATCGACAATGTTCGCCGAGACGGGCAGAGCTCTGATGTACGTTCCAGTTTCCCGGTGTGATCTTGTGGAGCAATAGACTTTATTTTATCGATTATGATTTTCCCCTCTCAAGAACGCTCAGCAACGATCAAGCAAATCGAGCAGAGCCGATGAGGAGAGGAGGTCGAGTCGACTCGAGCTCCGAGGACGCCGATCATTTGTTCCAGGAATCCTCATAATATTCTTGAACTTTTCGCTAAAGCCGTCCTGAGAAGTTCCGAGGGAAAATGCGGGGCATGGCACGAGGAAATTTGAGAGGCTGCCAAGACGAGTCTTTGACCTTCGAGCCGATTGTTGATCACCCCCGACCAGAGCTCTCGCGGGGATCCTCCGGAGTCGTTTCGAAATTTCTCGCCAATCATACGTCGGTACGGTACGAACGCACGATCTCTCTAAAAATAGAATCTGCCGTGATCCCGCATCCGAGCTTATGTAAGTTCCCTCATGGTCGGGGCGCGCAAGCTGCTCGTGGTACGCCACAGAAAATTCACTTTTCGAAAATGTTTGCTCGTTTCTGCGCTGTATCCAGCTTTAGAGAGCGGGGCGTGGCCGTCGTGTCCGTAATTGTTAGAGCGCTACTTTCGTATTCAATGCTCTTGATAATATCATGCCGACGACGCAAGCGGCGCTCTCACTCGCTCGCTCGGTCATCGGTCGCCGGGTACAATTCGATACCGAGCGGCTAGCGTCCAAGCAAACTCCAGTTGAGCTTGCCAGTTGAGCTCGGTCAATTGGGTGTTCAGCTGTCGGCCGACTAGTCTGAGCAAACATCGATGTACTGCAGGCAGGCGGGCGTTAGGCCGGCAATGGGGCGGGCGGGCGGGCGACAGACCGTCGAGCGGACGGACGGACGGACCGACCGACCGACGGATGGACGACCAGAACGAACGCACGGACCGACCGATGGACGACGGACGGGCAACGCACTACAGAAGTTTCAGAAGTTACTTGATGCCGCTGTGCAGAGAATGGATGTTAGATGTGGATGCTGTATTCTCCTTTCCCTTCCTCCGGGAGGAAGGTGGCTTCTCCTGGCGGTTCGCTAGCTTGCCTGCTCGTTGGTTCGTCGTTCGCTCGCTCGCTCGCTAGCTAGCCATGTTGGCCCTTGACTCTAACGCTAAGCGGGGCACTGAACTGTATCGGTTGCTGCCGCCGCCGCTGCTGCGGCTGCTCAAATGCACCAAAATGCTCTGAGTCGCTCAGATGGATGGTCGGAACGACCGACTGATGGATGGACGGACGGACGGACAGACGAACGAACGGATGAAAGCACCGAAGCACGCTAGCAAGCAGCTACCATACAGCCACCATCAGCAGCCTCTTCAAAGCGTGCTTCAGTTTCTGCGGCCGGCGGCGGCGGCAATGCTCGCTAAGTTCTTCGGTTGCTTCGCCTAAATCTTCGACTGCCTGTCTACACTACTAGCAGCGGCAGCAATGCCAACACCAATGCCAACATCGAGCGACGACGGCGGGCGGCGGCGGCAGCAGCAGCTACGAAATCCAGCTTGTGGACGCTGACGACGATGAGAGCGCTGTGATGACATCTGGGCCAACACTGGAGAGGCCCCTGTGTATTTCAGGCTGTAGTCAACCGACCCACTGTGCGGCCCGAACAGCGAGCATCGCACCGCATCGAACACCATAACTCTCCACAATAACATCATCTCCACGAGCGTTCTGGAAACCCAGCCGCATACGATCGAAACTCATGGATGTTTGAACTCTAGACTCGACCGAGCGTTTCTCGAAAATAAAACGAGCCCCCCGTCCACCCACACGCGGACCAGGCGTTGTACTTGTTTGCCTCCGAGACCCGATTGGAAGAAGTCCGGCTTGCGTGATGAATCAGATTCCCTGATGCATGCTGTGAGTCAGCCGGGGAAAAAAAGACGAACGAGGAGAACAACACATTTGGCTGAGAAAATTTCATGATGAGCGGAGTAATCGAGCGGAATCGGGACGCTGAAACGGTTCCGGGGAGCGTTCCGAGGGGGAAAACGGGTTTGAGTCTCCCAAGGTTGGATTCTTTTGGAAGAAGCTGATTTGAATATTTCTTTCGATCGATCGAGAGCTTGAATCTGCCCCAGACGATCCGAATCTCGCATCAGTCGTCGGCATGGGCGAGAATTTCCAAATTCATCAATCATTCATTCATTTTAACATTCGTCCGTCCATCCATTCAGACTGAAGATCCCAATCATATAGTCATGGCTCTGCCTCGTCCGAATGCGCTGGGTACCGTTAGCAATCAGTTCTGCTTCGATGGGAGCTCTGAAGTTCACCCACTGTAATGGCGAGCGAACGTGTTCATCTCTTTCAATTTCGCAAGAAAATTATCCTGAGCGAGTCCTCCCGCTACAGATTTCCGATATTCCCGATTTCTCAAGGAGCTGCAGGTCTTGGCCCGGTATTCCTCTGTAGCGAACGCAGCGCCTCTCCGAATCCGATTGCGTGCGGAATTCTCTCCGGGGCCTTACCGTCCTGGGCCGGATATCTCGAGAGCGGAACATGTTCCTCGAGACGCTGCGGCCTGAGCGCCACGGCGGCCCCGGATCTTGAAATTACATTCCGTCACTAGATTCGAAGGAGCCACTTCAGGAAGTTGTTTGTACCGCGTTTATTCGATCAATTTTTCTCTATTCACTTTATCGAGTCGCTCCGGAACCTGACTGAGGCCGTGCCCTGCACAGACGACGGATCCAGAGATACCATGATACGCGGCGGCGTTGACTACGCGACTAGAAAACACGAATTCCAAGGAGAACGGATGATTTTCCTCTCGGCCCTCCGACTCCGAGATTCGCGGTGACGGTGGCCCGAGGCAACGCTCGAGGGAGTAGAATATTCCTCGAGGACCGCTCTTCATCATATCCAAAAAGTCTCTACTGAGATTCGAGTTGTGGAGGAGTTATGAATTTTTATGAATATCCATGGAAGCCGCGAGATGCGATAGAAATTCCGAACAATAGAGGGAGTGAGATGTCGAGGATGAATTTCAGGAAGCTAAGAAACGGAGACATGAAACTCGATTCGCGTAGGGATGCGAGACTTCAAATAGAAATTGAAGTGAAAATCGTCCGAAATTTGGCAATTCCGTACAGGGATGCGACCCGTACCTATTGTGTTCTGACGAATCGAGCTCAATCTTCTTGAGACAATGATGCCATTTGGCTGATGTACTGTTCTTAAAGTGCGGCAGCGTTCTCAAGTACAACGAGAGGGCTGACAGTCAGTCAGTCGGTCAGACGGACGGACGGATGGATGGGCAGACCTGGCGAACGAGCTGACGACTGAAAATCGACGTCGATCATAGAAAGATGACGCCGCCCGCGGTGGTCTGGTCCACCGGGACATAAGATGAAGTTAATTCAATCGTGCATGCGACGAGTCTATCGCCTCTGCTTAGGTTTCCGACGATCATGGGCTACGACGGTATCGTGACATTCCATGCGCCGCGAGAAGGTGGATGACGACCCCCAACCGGCGCCGCCGTCACCATCGCGAAGTATCGTCGAACTTCCAGCCGAATAGCGCGTGCGAATGTTGCAGGAGCAGGGAATTTTTAGATGCAGCGTAAAAGTTTCCGAGTGACACCCGCGCACCATCAATCGACGCTATTTCTGCTTGGGGTCAACCTTATCCAAGGGGATATCTTCACGAACGATCTGAAATCAAGTAGTATCTCACGTCAACAACTTTCTATATTTTAGCGACTCGCGACGACTCGTGGAAAGCAACAATCCGCTGTTTTCCACCTGATCAATTGTGGAGACTCGATTGAGTCAGAAAATTGGCACTCGTCGATTTATATTATTGATCATGATCGCGAAGAGTACTTCCAAGGTTTTCGGTCGGTCGTATGCTCATCGACGGAAAACCTCGCTCGATTTCCAGTCGAATAGCCGAGCTACCCAGTCGGATCTCGATCGTTCTCCAGTAGAGTGGGGCTGTCTGGCCCACGGCACAGTCACCTCGGCACTCTCCTTCGCCATGTCACATCTAAATAGGGGGGGGGGGGACTGGAGAAATCACATTTTCTCCCGTGGCCGTGGTGCCACGTATAAAATGGCTGTAGTGGTGAATTATCTGTGTACAGAGTTCTTTTGAATAAATGCATGAGTGATCGTCCTCTCTTCAGCCTAAAATGATAGCTTGCAACTCGCTCGCCGGGACTTTCATTAGGCAAGGCCGCATGTGCATCAGGTAAATTCGTGATCAGCGTCAATCACGTATCCTCAAAGATCTCGGCTGATGAGCCGCCGAAGATCCACCGACTTCCGGTGCCTTGATCCGCTTCCGGGGACGAGGGAAGCATTCACTCCGCAGTTGGGTACTATTGGCCGAACACGAGAAGTTCTCACCTTCGAGCGATGAGTTCCTTCTGGCTATAATATCCCCGACCTCATACTTCATCAATAACCGATCAGACATCGAATCAGAGAATACAGTCCCTCAGCACGTGCAGCTGACGTCCTGAGAGCAGTCATTGAAAGCAAGCTGCCGCTCATATTCATAAAAGTATATTCTGCCGCTACGCCAGGTGAGAATTTCAATTCTCGCTCCAACGTCACGAGAAATAATAAGAGGTTAATTTTCCGGGAGTTCCTTATCCAACAATACCCGATGGAGGACGCTGATATCACTAAGACTTTTCATTGTGCGCGAGAGTCCGTTGAGAGCCGTAGTGGCTGCGATAGTACCACCGGTGTCGGGACGGCAGCTCGCTCGCTAGCTGGATGGTTGGCAGGCCATTTTGTAAGGCCCAGGAAGAGCGGGCCGCGTCGACGAGCATTAACACAGAGCGAAACCGCAGCAGCAGCAGCCTCCTCAGAGCTCCATAATGAGACAGACCCCTATATCGCACTAGCCGCCTGCGTGCTGGCTCGCTTGCCTGCCCGTCTTTCCTTCGTGAGCCTTTCCAACGGCCTGGCGCACCATACATTCATTTCTATGACATCAGCAGCGGGGCAATCTTTTCCGAAGCGGGCCTCGAGAGCTCCTATAGGTACGCGGAAAATTACCCCGAGATCACATCCGGCATCGAGGAGCTTATTGCGGCGAGTGGCGCGTAAGGACTTGCTCCTCATACATATTCAAACCAAATGGGAACGCAGGCTGAAGCTCGGAAACAACACTCTTGACATTCGCTCGAAACCAGCTGCTGTTTCACACCATCCGCCACCAGCACAACAGAAGTTCGAGTCTTAGCTCGATACCCGCATAATAATTGTGTTGTAGATGACGACGAGACCGTGATTTCGATTCGAAAACATGAGGCGTGCGTACTCCGCAAACAATGAACTTCAGTGATGAACTTCAGTAAATCCGATCCTGTTCAGTTTCTGCTCATCCGAGCGGAGGATGAAGCGTGGCTCATCTTCTGGATTTTCCCGCCATATCAGCCTCTCGAAATCATGAGCATCTAATCCCGTAATTGCGGGACGCAGACGCATTTGGTCTTCCTCTCTTTTTTTTCGTCGGAAGTGCACGGATGTATGGAGTCACCATGAGCAATTACGAATAGCTTCCGTTCCGCGTGTCTCAAATCAGTCTGCGCCCCGAGCAGGATGGCGACGGCGCCGCTGACCGCTCGGTACGTTCAGGCTCAGAGCAAAGATTTCTTAAACTCAAATGATAATGGTCTTCCGCTGGTAATGGCGCGAAACGCGAGTCCGTATTTCGGAGTCGCATAAAAAGCTCAAAGCTTGCCCTGTCCGAGAATCCTCCCACGCAATCTCTTCGAATCGAGCGGAGCTCACCCGATCCTAGGAGATCGAAAACTCATCTCAATTCAGGTCTCCCTCGTCTCGATTCTGCGTCTGATCTCGATTCTCGTCGCGGGTGTACTCAGCTGCTAATAGGCTGCAGGTCGGAGTACCGGCATCCGGGCCTCCATCGCCAGAAAGGCAGCCAACGTCCACCATTTTATAATCAAGTACCGGGATCAGGGAACGATGCTGAATGTATTTAATCTGTGTCAAAAGTTTATCCATAAATCTTGAGGCCACTGAGGCGTATCAGGTTTTTCCGCAGAACGCATACGACTCGTCGTTGTTCTGATTTGCGTTTCAGATTCGTGATTTGGAACAGCGGAAAAAGAACGAATGGAACAGCATCCACTTTTTTGTTCAATTACATAGAAGTCAGCCTTCGCCAGCAGACGAGTTCGTTGACAATTGTCGAACACGGTTGCGGATCGGAATAGGCGGCGAGGGGCAGGATAGAGACCGGAGAGGAAGTTTGTGATTTGAAATCAGTGGCGAATGCTCCCACTAATTGCGGGTTAGAAGCCAAAGGCGTGAGGAGCCTCGACGACTTTGAGTGACGATAGCCTCGCATACCTCGATTTATTTATAATTTCCTATGACACGTCTCCGATGGAAGCCCCCGCACAATAAAAAGGCGATAATCTCGCGGCGCCGATGACGTTTCTGAAACTGGCGGATATATGTCTCTCATCGGCATGAGCTTAAATGCCATATTGTCGGAAGAGAGCGGTAGAACGAGACTTGGACGCGCATCCGTTTCTGAAACTGATGAGACCGCGAGCACGAGTTGGACGGATATCCAGATTTTTTGAGTTTGTTCGCACGAAAAAAATCCATCCGACATGTATCCGATCACCACCTGTGTCCTCCAGCAATCAGTCAGCGTTCTGTACGTTGGGAGCCGATATGCTGAAGAGAAATCATTCAGCGAATGTCGACTTGATTTGAAATTCGATTCCGAGAGCAGGTACTACGATCGAGGGTTTAATCAACATCTTGACTAAAAGATTCAACGATTCGCCACACGCGTAGGTGGCGGACTGGCCATGTGATATAAGAGCGTACGCCTCGTTCTGAGCAGATCCTCAATTCTTATTCGTTGGTAGGAGGTTTTTCTCCGAGGATTCCAGGAAATTCCCAACTCGGACGGTATTCAATTTAGCGTTTGGTATGATGTCCAACGACGACGACGCGAAAATTGTGATGGTTTTTTTTTGGCTAGATTTACGGCTCACGCGTTCCCCTCCAGAACCACTGCTCAATAGTTTCTTGTCGAATTCTGTCACGATCAGGGTTTGCTGCTAAACTTTTTTAGTCAATATCGGCAGAGTGTGAACAACAGCGACGATGACGATTCGAGTTGAGTTTCAGGAGGAGTTTTCTAGTTTGTGTCCGCACGGTCCGTATGGCTCGAATCGTGATGGAGTGCTTAATAATGTATCCTATCCACTTCATCCCAATGAAAGCATGAGTCGATGGAGCGATAGGAACGGATACCTGGATTGAGAGATCGACGACTAGATGGATGGTGTATGGATCGAATTCTGCTCACTTAGATAAAGTTGAAACAAACATCAACGGGAACGCACAGATGGTTGATTTTCGACTGCCGATTCCTCCGGAGCGACCGGAAGCAAAACTCCTTGAATAATTCCTAACTCATCCCTCTGCCTGCATCTAAGGCTTTGCGCATCGGAATGCTCACAAGATTCACCCCTCTGAGCGTCTCGTGAGAACTTCGACGGATTCTACCTTCTTCTGATACATGCAACCAATTCGCTCCGATATCCGAGGAGAGCCGATCCTATCGACTCATATTTTCCCGGAGAGTGAAGTCTGGCGGGGAGTCATCGAAACGAGGCCGAATTTCCAGAGAGCGATCCAGTCTCCAACATGAGTGTCGTGAATTCCGATGGTGCCCAGTGACCACCGGACTCGACTTGAGGAAGCTTCATTGTCAAAGGATTCCCCAAGCATCGACATGGACTCGATAGGACGAAATATCGTTTTTTCCGCGGTCGCTCCCTAACGTTGCGTCGTTGAGACAGGCTGAGCATTTTCTGAGTGATCTGGGCCCGACAGGTGCATTTTCCAGTCTCTCTGGAGCATCGATAATCCAGAGACGGACTTAAGCGGCACAAGTCGTGATTTCTGTGTGGGAATACCCTTGAATTCCTGTCAGAACTTGAGTCGCGTACGCGTCGATCGGTGATATGTAGGTACTCGATTCCCAAACTACTCAGGAAACTTCGCGTTGACAGAGCGCAGATGGGGTCTCGGAATTCCACCACCACAAATGGTCTCACAGTCAAATGAAGGCTCATATGACTTCTTGCCTGTTTCATGGCTAAACCTGCTCCGTGATCCTTCTCGCGCATGTCGCTGGAGCACCTGGTATTCCATGTTAATTGACCCCGGTCTCTGCTCAACTCAATGTATCACATATTCCTGGGTCGGCGCGTTAGGCTCGTTGATGTGATCCCAGTCTTGTCCTTTTCGCCTTCCGCGAGTACTAAGGAGCTAATTCGTCTGAATGCTCGTCGCCTGTGCTGAGTGACTGACAACTCTGGTGCAAAGCTGATTTTACCATTGGGCTCAGCTCGCGGATGAGCGGCACGCGCAACATGTGTTCCGACGGGACTGTAAATACTTGCGAGCAGTTAAGGGAATGGGAACACTCGATCCGAGGTCAGCATTTCAATAGATTTGATCGGAGATTGATGCGAATCCACGGTGTGCCCTCTCGCTGTACGAGGAGCGACGCCGACGTGCTGGTCGACAGGGCTATCCAAGGCACGACAAGCGGTTTGCGAGTTTTTCAGATTTGCTCAGCGATGTGATTCTACGAAATTATCGAGGCGCTTCGGAAAGTGAGCCTCGACTGAATCGCAAGCCGATCGCAAGTCGACTCCGTAGGACAAGTTCTCTGAGAAAGTGTTCTCTCGTGGGTTCTCCGTGTGACGCAGGCGGGCCGCGACACGCAGATGCTCCAGCTGGGCCCCCGATTATTCTGAGTCGCGCCCGTCTTCATTCATAGGCTCCTCGCGAGACAGGACTCGCTTCGCGACGTCGCAAATATCCCCAAAAACATCGGCGATGATTTTGAGATCTCCGGCCCGAGAGCCCAGACAAAAAGAGTAAAATCAGATCCTTTTGGTTTTTCCGGCTCGACGACATATAGCGCACGCCCCGACGAAAACATAAAGTCGTGGATGGTGATTCAGATCCTATCTGAATCGTCATCCGCAGCGCGAATCGGCAGAACGAATCGGAAAAGTTGGAGTGAGTTTTTTTTCATTTCCATTCCAGGTCAGCATAGTCAGTCTGCTTCGGCTGCTGAGACAAATGTGTAATGAATGCGGATGAATGGTTTGAGTCACGCAAGAAAATATTATATATGTAGTCGATCTGGATCCTGTTTGTGTGTAAAGCTTTGTGATTCTTCGCGGCAACTCGTCCCGGCATACGCTCACTCGCTGGCTCGCTCAACCGTCCGCAAGGGTGCTGCACATATGATAGTAATCATTGTAAGCCGCAAGTAGGCCTTTCCACCGTCCGAGGTTCATCGATTCCTCTCGGAGAGGTTTCAAAACTCCCGAAAAACGCAGGCACGTGGATATCTAAGTGGAGGGTAGAATCAATATTCTGGGACGCAGACCTCTCAGGGCAGCTTCACTTCCGAGCTCGACAAGAGCGACAGTTTACAGCTTTCGGTAGGATGTTAGGGCCCCCGAGAACATTGGAATTCGCAGGGATCGGTATGGGGTATCGTGTAAGCTTCGGTGTCCCAAATAGATCCTGCATCTCTAGATGCTAAGGTGACTTCCCCCAGGGACATCGGCATGACATTTGAATTCACTCGAAAAACCCTTCCCGAAGAGCCAATTCCCTCGCCGACGGTGCCTCTATAGAGATGCCCATAGTAGCTCGGCTGGAAGGGGAAAACTGATGGACAAAAGAATGCTGAAGACCCGAGAAGAAATTTCGGACTACGACTCGAGATAGGGTCGGGTGGAGGGAGAACGAGGTACGCTGACGATTTTTCCCGTGGAAAGGAATGCCTAATCTACCTATTTTGATATCCGCGATAAATCCGTTCTCGGATGCAACGCAAGTCGGTCCTATATTGCGACCTGAGTCGAAGCCTGCAAGTCGAACGTCAGAAGGCCGGAGAGGTCTATTCGATTAATTGATTGCTAGACAGACTGACAGCACAGCTCTTGTGTCGATACGGAACCGGAGGAACGGTGAGACAAGGCCATTGTATTGCGGGGGGGAGGATTGCCCGTCACTGACTTATAAATTCCTATCGGTGAGCTAGCGAGGGGAAAACCCTCGCGAATACACCTTCCTCCCGTCTATCTCGACAACCGACTAGCCACGCAAGAGTAAAACGCCGATCAGCTCAGCGGATGCTCGGAGACGATGCTCGTGGTATTCTGATGGGTCGGCTGGACCCATCGGTTGCTGGGATTGCTACTGGTTCAGTAAAGTGCTCTAGATGGTACAAGCGAGCAAGGGAGCGGGCGCTTTCTAGTGACTCTGTCGGTCCGCGTGACGGTATGGCTGTCTATCTAGCTAGCTAGCTGGGTATTCAACCGTTCGTTCGTCTATCTGTTTGTCCATGCGTTTGTCCGTTCTAACATCCCTCCATCCATCCATCCATCGACCGACCTGGCTGCCTGCCCTCCCACCCGCTACCGGCGCGCAAGAGCACCAGCGAGGACGACAACAACACATAGCAGCGGTAAGCCAGCAGGCAGTGCGCTCGGTTCAGTGAACGCCCAAGCGGCGAAGAAGAGCGACGTATTCCGTGCGATGAGCGCGCTAGGAAAGCTAGCCTCTCCGCCACCACCAGCATTACCACCATTACCACCGCTGGCAACACCAATACCACCCGCTACCGCTTTGCTTTCTAACAGTGGCACCGGCAGAAAACAACGGCCACCGACCGACTGACTGACTGACTGGAAGAGTGGGTGAGCGGCCAAAGAATGCCTCGTCGCTGGTCATCCCAAACTGGCTTGCTCATTCACTCACTCAGTGAGTGCTGGACGCTCGATCGGTCGGTCCGTTTGTCCGCCAGTCGCTTCGCTGCCGACCGGTAGTCTGTCATCAATAAGGCGTGGGTGCTACTACCGTTGCGTTAGGGGTTTCCCGTTCTCCTCTTCCAACAGCGTAACTTCCAGGCTGAGCAACACACGTGGCGGCACGCCATCCACGCCAATCAGAGGGAGCGATGAACGGATGGATGGAAGATGCGAGGGAGCGGAAAAACGGACGGACTGACGACATACCGACCGACCGGGCGACTAGCGGATCGGTGGATGAGAGGGTGGATAGATAGATACGTAGATAGATGGACGAAGGATGAGTGAAGGAGCGAGCGTGATCTGAATAAGAAGCGGCGGGGGCTACGACGCTAGCGGGGAGAATGTAGAGCCAATTCACTGGATCATTCATTCTTCGAGTCGCTATGGATAAGCTGTGGATCGTCTCGTTCTGATTAAGCATTCGACTCGGTCGGACACGAATAGTCTTCATGCCCTGGCTCAGCTGATCGATCTACGTATTCTGTTCCGGAATAAGGGCGATCCTCAATAGAGTTCTCGAGCCTCCCTCTCGCTTTGATCGTGAGAGCTCTGGAATGGGGAGGGGAGCCTGTGGAGTGCACCAGAGCCGCGGTCACTGATTCGCGGTTTTTGATGGCCCTCTTCACAAGAATCGTCATCTGCCGTGCGAAAAGGCAGTTGAATCCGATATTTTCGTGCTGGAGCTGCACTGAAGCTCCGCGCTAACCGCGACTCTAATGAATCTTCCACTAAGGGAAATGATCCGAGTCTGAGTGCGATGGGTGCACGAGCAAAGGTTCCTTACACTCGATAGGGAACGTGGAGACTCAGAAGGAGCCGTCTCGATACTTCAGGCAGGGTCACAGAATTGAAACCTAAATATGATCATACGTGTTTGCTCAATGCCATCTGAGGACTGGTTTGTTTTTCTGGCCTAGTTATGCCGACCCGGAGAAATCGCCAGGATGTGATACTCGGAACATACAGAAAGTCGCGCATCATTTGTCGTCGACATCTGCCGAATTCGAATTAGGTCGCTTTCAGTGGAAAAAAGACGTTTTTGGTTCGAGGCGCCAAGGGAATATTCTCCTCGACTGAGAGAACTTGCGTGTCCCATTTGAGTACGCTGGCCTTGTCAATATGCTGATCCTTGATCATTAGCAAGTCCCGAGTCGAATGAACATCCGACAAATTATGCTTAGAACGTTCATGGGAGGCGTTGCGTGTGATCGGGCCTTCTCGTTAAAACTGTCGCGTTGGCCGAGGATGGCACGGCGACCGCGGCGGAGAAAGAATCTAAATGGCCACATCTGAGGGCATGGACTGTGCGGGGGAGGTGGGTTTGACGAACTTCCTCCTCCAGAACGCGATCCGAGTCCAGCTCGCCTTCCGAGGTTGCCTAGAAGAGAAGCCCCCAGCGGACCGAGGTATATCTAAGTTCCTCGAGATAGAGTCGACACCGCAAGATTTTTAGAGAGACCTTTTTGGATGCCCCTCGGTTTGTTCTTCCTCGACGGAACTCCGAATCACGATCGAACGTGGACAGCATCAGCCGTCCCAGACTCGGGTCAGATTCGGGTACAGCGAGGCATATTTGAGGGAATGCACTGCGAAGCCCCTCGCTGCCGATCCAAGGGTGTACTCATGTACTCTCCTCGAATACACTTGAGTTCTCGATTACCGGCTGCGAGCGGCTCGATCGAGCTTGACGAGACATTCGCCTCGGGGTTACCAGTGCTAGGGTACCTCTCAACCATGGTAGCGTTGCGGGGGAACTCCTGTCTCCGACAAGATTCTTTTCAACACTTCATTCCCATCGGGGTTCCCCGAGTCACGGGCGTTGATTTGTGACATTGATGTCATGTATGGCTGTCACCACGTCGATTCCTCTACCGTAAAATAGTGGACTATCATGAGAGATCCCCCAGCCTCCGTGGAGGCTTCTCACAATTCCGGGTTAATTCCTGCCAAGGCTGACAACGAACGACGGAAGAACTTCGATCGAGACAGACCCCGGAGAATGCTCCTAGTGAAGCGTATGACACCAGAGCACAAGGAGCCGGTCATCTCGGGTCCATTCAGGGGAAGCTCTCTCTCAGGACGACATCTAAAGAAACCTAATGAATAATTCACAAACCTTCCTCAATACGTCTTTGTAGACTGCGTCTGTGAGCTGATACTTCGAGGGCAGCCGCATATTAGCTCGTCGGATGCAGAGCTCGAGCTCCTCGCTCTCGAGAATCGGCACGGGATCAACTTTGTGGCGGAAAATCAAACTCCCTAAATGTTCAACGTAGTGTTTCCTGGAACGAATAGAAAATTATTTCCACCGGGCATTTCCCTTTGAAATAAATATCTATGCAAAGGAGCCTGGGAATCCTCATGTCTCGATCTCCCCGAGGGCTCCTGGCACTCCGAAATTCCCCCAGAACGACCCAATGCGTTGCAAATAGAATGTCGAGAACAACGGGACTAGACGGAACGCTAATATGACGAACTAACAGGTTTCGCTGAAGGTCCGAACGACTCTGATGACAATGCTAAACAAAGCGAGTATTTTGTCTCCAGACCAAGTGACCCTGGGGCCTAATGTGGGCACGGTTGTTGACTTTCGATTCTCCACGGAGCCAGTGTGCTCCCATTCTCGTCTCCAACTTGACCATCCCGCCAGAGGGGCGTTGATCGAATCTAGGTCGACAAACTTATTTCGTCCTCAACCGTTCGAATCATCCGATTAGGCTCATGGTCAGCGAATGGGTTCTGTCTGTCTCGTCTAAGGCTCGCCGTTCGCGAATGGCCATAAGATTTGAATTAGTCTCCAATTTTTCCGCACTTCAGCAGAGTGAGTCGTAGCTCGATCAATGTGCGGAGGCGGTGCGGCGGCTCCACCGAGTCTGGGTCAAAATGATGCCCTACGTATGGTAGCTCATAGAGCGAGGATATCCCGATTCCTTGGAAAGACAAATGACCGACCGGATTCGCTCCCGCTCTCCTCTCAAAGAAGGGGATCAGGAGTCGTTATGCGATGCTCACCATGCAACGTCCACGTATCGTCTTGGAAAAAGCGTTCTTTCGACTTACTTGCAGAGACCCGCCATGTTCGGTTCGATTTGGCGTCCGCAAATGTCGTCTCGGTACCCACCGAAGGCGGACTCCTTCGTTTCAGGTACTTGGCATTGGTTTTGCTTCTCCTGGCCAGATGTAAGATCCTGGCATATTGCAACGCCGGCGTCCTGAAGTCGAGAAGTTCCCGTTTATCAGACTCTCGAGAGCGAGCGAGCGGGATCTCATCGGGAAGTTCAATCATTGGAGCTCGAATCCCGATGAGTGTTTTCTCGACGCAAATAAATAGTGAGCAAAAACTCACTCTGAGTAGGACCTCCAGCTTCTTATACTCCTTGTCTCGGAGGTAGAAGAGACAATTTCGAGGATGATGAGCGTGGAGACCCATGCGCTTGCAGTTGACCGAAAAGCCGCATTTCTTAGGAAGAGGATGATGATTTGTCAGGGAGACTTTAACGGGCACCTATGCGATATTGCTTCGACGACGAGCCAATGGGAGGAATCGAGGAAGATCAGAACTAACCTCTCCGTTCTTGAAGGGCCGATTGCACCCGGAGCAGAAATCAAAACCGCATTGAACGCATTTGAAGTGCATGCAGCCACCGCGGCTCAACGCATAACGGAACTTGCATTCCGGACATTGAATTCCATTTTCCTCAAAATATCTCTCTAAACCGATCTCGGCGGAGTCCGGTTCGTATCGCGAGATCCATCGGTCGAATTCCTCGCAGGAAAGCGTCTGATGCTCCTTGCGCCACTAGTCGATAGTACACAAACTCAGACTCTGGCCGGTCAGCTCATGCCGTTGTTACGATAAATTACATTTCCCACCCTTCGATTATTAAAGACTGTTTTTCGATCTGAGCTAAGCTCATGGACTGCAAGACTTTTCTCCGAGTCTGCTCTGTTTCCCTTCCCCCCACCCCTCCCGCCACGGATAGATTTATTGCCGGGTCAGATACCGGCCGTCTACCTTCACAACCAGACGAGCGAGCGATCAATGATTGCCCGAGGTCAGTCCTCGTCTCTCTCCCGATCCTAATATTTCGTCCACCTAATTCGGCTGCGAACCTCGTTTGAGAAAAACTAGAGTTTCCCGTCGAATCGTGAGGTCTCTTGTGCTCTTGTTCGATACTTGACCTAATAATTTGAGACGAGGAAATCCACCCTGACAATTGAAGATTCACTTCATTCAATCGGCCAGGCCCATGAAGATGCGAGTTGTGGGGGAAGCGACTGCTCATCCTACTCGCTAGCGCTCATGACGATACTCGCTCGAACATTTGGTTTTGGAGTTTTGTACTCACAATTTTCTTACAGTCTGCGCAGGAGATCTTCTTGCAGTCTGGGCAGGTGACCGCTTTCTGCTGAGCCACGGTAATGAATCCCGACGAGCACTGGAACAGGCTCCTAATTATTTCTCGCTTGTTGCGAAGGTTCAGCCTCGGACTCTCATCAAAAGTAAGCAACTCGATTATCCCAGAAAGCGGATTCTCTCTAATACGGGAAATTCACTAGCATGCGAGATTCGCGCTCGAGATTGCATCACACGATCCTTTCCCGCCATGTGGATGAATAAGATTGACTATCGGAGTTTTGTGGCGAACGAAAAATTCGCTTTGCATGAATTGAATCGCGGCCTGTGTCATAATTATTAATAACCTGCGGACACCATCGGAAGTTCGGGTCCTTCATGAGTGCGCGTTCCACGAGCTTCTTCTGGAAGAGGTCGAAGGTTTCCTTGTCGACCAGATCCTTCAGCTGGAACCAGAATACTTCCTTGAACACAAGTTCGTAATGTATCGTCAGCAATGGAACATTCTTCCAGCGGTCAGCCATGCGAGTTTCGCATGCGCCTCCTGGACGATCTCGCGTCCGAAGTCTTCATGCGTTGAGTGGACGTCGCCAGTTGGAATCTTCAGGTCATCGATATTAGAGTTCCGAATCGATCATGTCCGTACTGGACCGAGAATTTTTGTCCGAAACCTCACCAGAACGGACATGTTGCTGAAATAGTTTTGCTCGATCTTCTCGTCGGAGAGATCAGGCTCATTGCAGAAGGGACAGCGTAATTCCCCAACGTTTCGATCCCGGATTTGGATCGTGAAGTATGTCCGGAGGCATTCTTGACACGCTACGTGTGCACAATGGAGAAGAGCTATCATCTGGAACGATAGTCGGAATGATTAGAGAGTCCGGCCTCGAGGATTTTCCTATGAACACCTCCCCGATCCTGCTTGCAGGCGTCGGATGCCCTCAGGAGGATGGAAAGTATCCACAACGACGGGGAACCCCATGGATACGGCCGCGGAAGCCATGCTCTAGGCTTCCCCGTCTCCTCGCCCGCCCCAGGGAGTTTCATGTCCTCGAAGCGAAGGCCGGAGCCGCTGAGCTTAGCGTTCTTTTCCAGTCGGAATCGCCGAGAGCCGTTCCGCCGTCTAGGATCTCCTTGTTGCAACAAGTCCCATCTCCGAGTCATAGTCCGGATGCGTTACTTACGAGGCCAGCGAGAGAGATACGGCACCGGGCGTCATCGATCCAAGGGTACAGCCGTGCATTGTCGCATGAATGGGAGGAGCCGCACCCCGCTGATTAACTCAGTACAAAGGCTTATCGATTGTGTTGCGACCCAGTTGTCGTTACGAACTGAACGGCTGGTGGAGCCGTTATGACAGCGGCTAGAGTCTCCTCACCATCATCATTAATGTTAACGAGGTTTAGCCAGCCGCTACCGACCGTCCTCGCTCCGAGGCTCCATAAAATGTTTCGTTCAGAAAACCTCCAATTCAGCGAGGTATGTTCTCTTTTCCGACGATGGCTGGCATTAATGTCGACAGAACATTCACATTGAATTCCCGCGCCGTCTCCGCTCGTCAGTCGGGACGACATTCACGGTCGGAACCCGTGGCAGGGTTGTGGTGTCGCCTTACCAAAACTTCGAGGGATTTTTCCATGCGAGCAATCCGCTGGGAAAACTCACTTGACTCATCGGGTACGTCCCGTAGCATATGTTGCATTCTTGCTGCAGAAATAAAACTGCCTGATACACGCTGTCGGTGTTGGCTGACGCTAGGATCGCATCTGGAAATTCGCGGAATCGCCTCAATTAAATATTGCCCAGCTACCACCGAGTTCGATCGAATCCATCGATTCCGGAACGCGCCAGTCGACCCCGCACGGGTCCCAGATCTTGGAAGCCGAAATTTTGGGACGAAACGGTAATGATGAACTTTTTTTACCTTCTTCATCGAAATTCATATCGACGAGTTCGGCCACCATCTGCGCCTGGACGATACTCTCGACGCGGCCAGCCGCGACGAGATTGATCGCTTTTTCCTGAGAGGAATGAAAATGGAGAATCTCTTATTCTTTCGGGTTTCTTTCCGACTTCTTGAGAAGCTAGTCGTGTTCGGAGCTGTTGGTTCTGCTTAAAGGGATTAGGTGCCAGACCATCATATGCGCCAGGATCACGGAGCTGAGGAAAGTTTGCTTCGCCCTCGGCTTCCTCGGCCGGGGCCGAATACCAGAAGTAGTTGGACTTTGCAAGGGATTCTGACTCCTCTACAACAAACGCAGGAACGAGTTCTCCAAGACCGGATCGAATGAAGAGTAACGAACGTTAGCTTTCGACGTGTCACGCACACTCGTTGAGCGCTAATACGTGGTCGTGACGATAGCAGACGGCTGACTAATGTAGCCCCCATCAGATAATTTGATTACGGCCATTCACGTGCCTCGCATGTCTAGAATCTCGTATGATTCTCCATGCTCGCGCACCAAGTTCCAGGCACGCTTGCTTCCACCTAGGAGGTCGAGCTCGAGAAAGTTCTTTCCTCTTTTGCTCTCTCGAGATTTCCCCCCGAGCCGCTGCTCCGCGGATCGGTTGCACTTGGTCTTCTGAATGATTCGAGTTCGACTCTCCTACAAGGACTTTCACTCGGACGCTCGTTGTGTCATGAGCGCACAGAAGGGTCGATCGGAGTCCCGGCACGGAGGAGCGATATTTTCATTCAGATTTCTGTTTGCTCTCTTTTTGAAGTTTGACGATCCTCAATGAGATATTTGTTGAGAGTGTTCGTGCGCGACAGAAAAACTGCCGGGGGACGTTTTCGGGAACGTTCAGCCTCAACGCCGCTCTATTCATCAAAAACGCATCTCGACTGAGAATACATTGTTAATGCATTCTCGGAGTCGGAGGGAGATTCCCTGATGGGGATTCCAATCGTTCGAATATTCAAGAGGAATGATTTCAGCGGAAGACGATATTCCCCCTTGAAGTCTCGGAGCTCATAGCTCGCGACTCACATTGAACTGTTTCTGTTTGTGTTGAGCGAAGGGGCGCTGCCCTGACGTTTGCTGCAATTTGGACGCGTCTGCAATTTTCTTTTTCGGCGGTGGTCGGCTCCGCTGCTTGGCGACCATTCCCAGGATCGCTGCAAAGGTGATGCGGTGTAAACAAACGATTCCCCACCGACGCAAGTCGAGCTCAGAATGGATGAGTCTACAATTACCCTCGCAGCCCGTACATTCGACGAGCGATGTTCAATTTCCCGAGCGACCCATTTTCTTATTCCGAAATGAAGAATTATTCGAACGATCAATTCGACGAGGGAATAACACGCCGGGTATTGCGCGTCGGCTTCGGGCTCTTCGCGGACACGAGAGACGGAAGTCGCTGAGGAACGTGCCTCCGCCCGAGTGCTCCTCGAGTGTATCTCTGCCCCGAGTGCTTTATTCTTCACACATTCTTTCTGTCTCATTCCGTCAAGGAAACTGCTCCTTCGCGTATAACTTCCCCGCACGCCCACGTGCTCCTGACCTGCACGAAGAGAGAAGCTCGTTCAGACAACTTTGCGAATGACTAACCTTTTGTGAGCTCCTGACCCGGAACTCGGAGAGATTTCTCGAGGCTGTTCTGGGGCTTAATTATGATGACGTCCCCGTCGGATGAGCGGCCGAAACCGTCTCCTCGATCCACGACCACGATTGTGCTCCTTCGTCTGATCGACGGTCGGCGATACACTAGAATAATTAATTGGCTCGTTTTGATTGCGAAAAGATCCCTCCCGCTCCTCGGAAATAACCATTCGAAGCCGTGTCTTCGATCATGAATCCCGAGGGAGCCGTTCCTCGATTTTCCAGGAGGGATGGTAGTGATTCCGAGCTCCGGCTTCGATGTGGGGCCGGGAGTGCAAAGAGGTCGATAATCGAGTGATCGCGAGCAGAGTAAGTTGCTCGCGACCGAACTTAGTGAAACTCACCGACATGGCGTGACGCAACCTTTTGAGGCTTCCCACCGAGTCTTGCTAGGTCCTCGAGTGATCGTCTGATAGCTTTCATCATCGCTGTCTGGTTTCCCAGATTACCTGAAGCGGAGAAACTTCCTCGCCGATTGTGTAATTCCGTATCCTCGTCTGAAATATCGGAATAGTCGTCGGAGTTGTGTACGTGTTGCTCGGTTCCGTCGAGTGTAGGCGTATCCGTGATCCCGATAAAACCTTCCGTTATTCTGTCTTCTGCGGTTTTCGATTTCGAAAGGAGTTTCTTCTTCTTTTTGAGAGGCTTCGATTTGCTCGGGAATTGTTCGGTGTCGATCGGGGGCGTCGGCTCTTTTTGATCGAGGGGAACTTGGCCGTCGGACTCGCCGACGCTCTTTCGTAGCTTCCCACCGACATCCATCTGGAGTTCGGTTCGTTCCCCGCCGATCGACTCGTTGTCGGAGAGTGGATCGCTCACGTCATTCTGCTCCTGACGGACCCCTTTCGCCCGGAGCTCATCTTCCGTCGCCGAAAAAGATACCATGTCTTCCATCCGATCGCCGGCGCTGGCTGCGGACTCCCCGTCTCCTGCTCCGTGTGATCCGGGCTGCCCGTCTTCTGATACATTCCCACCGTATGCATTTGGCTCTTCCGCGAAATCCTCTCCTCCTCCCGCGTAGCCTCGTCCCGCGACCTGTGGACCGTTCCGGGCGTCTCCTTGGGCATCGTCCTGAGCTCCGCTACCGTCTCCGATTTCGGTGGCTCGATCCTCCATCTCGTCCTCGGAAATTCGACTCGGCTCAAAATCGCGGCTCCCATCCGCATCCGCCTCGGCCGACGTCGATTTTTCCCGAATGCCGAAGCTGATCGTCACAGTTTCCGAGAGGAATCGACCGTCAGCAGTTTGTGATTTCAAGTCCTCGATGAATTTATCTGTTGGTGAAGACGCCGCAGATCGGTCCACCTCATCCGGTTTAAGAAGTTCCGAAACCCTCGAGTGGATGCCGGTCTCCAGTATTCGATGACCGGGGTTATCTGCTTGGGGCAGAGTGGGTCCCATCCGCGAGAATTCTCGCGGAAGATCCGCCTCTTGGTGATCAGAACCATGGCTCGGATTATCGGATCTCGGATGACTCGGACCGAAAACAACAACGATTTCGGGAGCGTCCTCGTCAGTTGCTGGCTCGGTCCCTGGCTCGGTTCCTGGCTCGGTTCCTGGCTCGGTTCCCGGCTCGGTCCCAATCGAGAGCATTTCTCCATCTTGAGGCGCTCGAACCTCCTCGCTCCCGGTATCCCCCCCTCGGAGTTCGTGTCCCGTATCCGGTCGAGACGATCTCCGCAATTTCGTGTGCCCCGGATTATCGGAAATTGGTTGCGTAGGTCCGAAAACGAGAGGTATGTTTTCATCGGCGACTCTCGCGGTAGCTTCCGGGTTTCCGGGGAGGACTTCGGCGTGGCCAGGAATAATTTCAGCGACGGCAGCTGATTGCTCCGCACTATCATCAGGCTCAGACGCTTCACAGAACATTTCGGAGTGGCTTGCCTCGATTGGGGGGCTCTGCGGAGCATCGAGGAACTCCTCAGCGGCTTCGAACTCTTCCTCGCTCTCATCTGATTCTCGTGCTGGCTGCTCCAACGGGAAACAGGACGGCATGATGGTCACCGGAGGCTCATGTACCGTGGCGATAGCGAGCTCTACTTCTGAGTAATCTCTCTCGTCGGTACTCGCGCCGCTCCCGATGGCTCCATCTGTCGCACGACCCCCGACGATCGCCGAGGTTTCCGCTTCAGACTGTGGGACCCTCGCCGGGCCTGACGGTTTCTCTCCAGTTTCTCGACGGGTCGGATCCCCCATTTGGGTGGCCTCGGAACTCACGGCGATACCCGACGATTTCCGCCTCTGGGGTGCTTTCCTCGAACGGCTTTCGTCAACCGATTCAAAGCCGCTGCGCCGATCTGTCCCTTTCGGCTTGGAGGCCGTTCTGGTTTTCGGTTTCACAGCAGGAACATCTTCTACCCTTTCGGCTTCGGCCCCAGGCCGGTCCTTCTCCCCGTGTGACTCGGGTTCGTTGCGATCTCTGTTTTCTCCTTTCCGACAGCTCGAGTTGGGACCTTGCTTCTTACGTTTCTGTTGACCTGGATCTTTCGGAGCGGTTTCTTCGTCGCTGAAAACCTGCTGACGCTCTTTTTTCAAAGTTGTCTCAATGACGCTCAGAATCGAGTTCAGACCGGTTTGAAGTTTTTGTTCGATGACATTCTCCAAATCCATTGGGTTCGGACTCGCAGACGATCCCGCGGACGAAACGGATGATCCCGGCGGTCGGATCTGCTTATCCAAGTATCCTGTCTCAGCGATCATTGCGCCTTCGTGATGGTGTCTTGCGTGGGCTACCCGCTCCTTGTATTTCTTGTAGCGCGAGTCTTCTTTTTTCTGCATTTGACGCTTCTTCATGAGCTTGTCGAGTTTTTGCAGTTGCTGGTCGGGCCCAGCTAAAAAGTCCAGGCTTTCCTGGCTGGAGGAAATCGCCGACGTTCCGCTGCTGGAAACAGATTTGCTGGTTTCCAGCCATAACGCTATTTTTTCCTCAGGGGCCACGGTGCTTTCGCTCGGACTCCGGTTGAGAGCTTCCGCACCAGCCGAGTACATTCTCATGAGGAAGGCATTCATTGTGGAATTGCTCAATTGGGCCAGAGCTTGATCGGCATTGCCCTGTGAGCTTCTCAGCGCCTGTAGAATATCGTCGGCCTTGAAAGGTCCCTTGCCATTGATCAACTGGAACTGCAAAGGAGGAATGCCCGCCAGTCAATCTCGGCTCAGGCCGCAGGAATATTCTCCAGGTCGGCAGCTCCTTACCGTTGATTGTCTCCGCTCTACAGCGTCGAGAACCGAGCTCCAAATATTCCCTGATTGTCGCCTCAGAGCTGCCTGAGCTTCTAAAACGCTGAGTTGTCCGACATTCTTCAAATTGTTCTCTGCCACGTAAGAATTCGACAGATGGATCACGGTTTCGATCATATGGGCCCAGTTCGTTTTCAGCCAAAGAACCTGTAAAATGGCCAGTTTGATTGCCTGCCGAAGTTTCAGAGGGGAATCGATTCGTGATTCCAAGACGTAAAAGAAGTACAGTCTCGTCCCCGGCAAGAAGAATTGTGGAGTGGGAAGGAATCCTATAAATAGAGCGTCCCCCCGCCATTGGGCTTTTCTCCCTACGGATTCCTTCCGCTTGAGTTATCAATCGGCGGAGACCTAGAGCGGGTTGCGGGGAGGGATGCGAAAGAAAAAAGTAAGCAGAAAAACTTGGCGCAAATCGAGCTCCTCCACACGAAAGTACGCTCGCGTTTTTCAAGAGCGCCATCCAAGCCGAAGAGCAATCATCTCTCGCAATGTTTGAAGTCACTCCGAATGGAACCCCAAGCTCTAAATATGCGCATATTTATGACTGAGAGTCCATCCCCTTGTTCTCCGGCGGTCGGGAAAGTTCACTTTCGAGTGTCTTGAGTTCCGCGCGAGACTCACAGGATTCGCGTCTCCACAAAGAGCTCGGGCAACTTGAACATCTTCGGCAGTGTATCCAGCCGTCTCGCCCTCCTGCAATCGATGATAAACTCGTGAAGCTCCCTGGCACCGTATCGTCGGGGAAAGAGGTGCGGGGAGCAAGAAAGCGGCATTCGTGCATATTACATCATAAATCGGAGAATTTCTATGAGAGCAGCGCGAGATTTCACCACCAAGGCTCCAGAGGAAAGGCACGACTTGGTTCCCACGGCTCGAGTCCCTCCGACGAGTAAGTCTCGACCATCCATAGTCTCACTGAACTAATATTTTTCTCGCCCCCTATCGTTCGATCTCCATCGGCTTCGGGAACTATCCCCCTTGACTATCGAAATAGTGCTCCCGATACATTTGATTCCCTACCTTGATGGCGCTCATGAGCTTCAGAGCATTCTCCTTCTCAAGTTCTCGACGCTGCTCTTCGACCAAGTCGGCAACGCTCTTGTGCGGATGTGTTCCCGCGCTTTGGGAATCAGATAGATCTTGGGAATTCCTTGCAGGCCTATGATGCTCCTTGCTCTGTTCCGGGTGATTTTGTTGGGGTCTGAGACTCTCCTCGTTGACAAGGGTCTCGTCCTCGGATTCTTGAGTGGCATCGCTTTGAGCTGAAGTGGTGTGCGGAATCTGTCCGAGCGAAAGAAGGAATTCAAAACTCCCCTCGAAATCTCGTAGTTCCCTGTCATCGTCCGAGAGGCGAGAAACGTGTGATTTTTAATTATAGTTCGTCTATGTGTGGAAGAGCTCACCGGCTCCGGATCTTGACGTCTCTTAATGGGTTTACTCTTTTTCGAACTGATTTTCTCCTGCTCTCGACTGGCCCCGCTCGAACATGAGTCCACGGAGCAGTCTCGCTGATCGCGGCTTGTCGGGATCTCTGGCTGCGCTCTCCGACTTGACTGAAAACAAAAATAAAATCCTCTGATCACCTGAGTCGGGTGTCTGGGTTACTCGCAAATAGGGGTGCGGGCGTGCTCTCGTATCGGTTAGACGGGTCCCCATTCGAAATTTTCCAGAAAATTGCCCTCCAAGCTCGAAGTCAGGCTTTCAGAGATGCGGGGTTCTCTCCAGAGCCAGCTCGAGATCGACGAAAATAATGGGAGGAGGATGGCAGATTGAGGAGGACGGAGTTATTTCGAGATAATTTTCAACGAATATGCAATTCTCAACTTGGATGCGAGGGATCGCTGTGAGCTCCGTAGATGCAGGGAAAGTTCCATCCGAGTAAGCAACAGGTTGTTGCTATTCACCGGAGTGAGAGCGATCGACTTTCGCAAGTCTGGTCTTGAAGGAAACCCTCGATCGAGTTCAAGTATCTCCAAGTTCGAAACTTAACTCTTGAGATACACTATAAGTCTTCGGTGTAGAGAAAAAACGAGAAAGGTTTCGCAGTCGACTGCTCGCTCAGACAATAAACAATCGGCCCTTAGTTCACTTCGTCGGAGGATGTCGAGCTCAGCAAGGAGCTTGATCGGGCTTCTCGACTCGTTATAGGCTCTTTCCTTTCTCGACACGGAGGCTTTTGGAGGAACAAGTCCATTCGGATAATAATGGATAGTGTCGGTAACTCTTTCCTCATTGTCAGTCTCTCATTGAGTCTATGACGCCCCTATGGCCCTCCATCTGTATAGTTTTCCGAAAGGGGAGCTCCGATGACCGGAAATTTCCGCATCAAGCATCAATGATGAAGGATGAGTCGCGAAATCCGAAGTCAAATCCGCGACTCCGAAATCAAAATGAGGAGTATCTACGCGGAGGTGCGCAGCAGAATGACGACTAGTCCACGGGGGATTATACATCGGGTTTATTTGCTCGAAAAGCATTTTTTCCGTCTCGTTCATCGCTCACGACTCACAAGCGCCCATATATCCGATCGTCCGGCTCCGGTACGGAGGTTCACATGGCCCATTTCACGGTTCGCGAGTATTTCCCAATGGGACCTACCTCAATTGAAGACGCCACGGAGGATCTCGAGGAAGACGGTGACGTTTCGCCGCGAGTTTTCAATGAACTCTTTCGCGGTCCGGGTTGGGTTTGCGTCGTCTCGAACTTCGAGCGAGCCTGATTGATGGACGAAAGAGCTTTCGGGGTCCCGTTTGAGTCGACCATCATCCGACGGTAAGGTCCCACTGGAAAAGCCGTTCCGTTCGAGACGCGCGGACGTCGAGAAAATCCGAGAAGAACATCCAGAGAGAAGGAGCGCGAAGTTATTCGCTCAATAGAAATTCGTTCCGACAGGCATGCGGGCTTATCATGTCCGATACCGAACATGTAGGAGAGACTTACCCACGGTCGGCGACTTTTCCTTGTTCTGTAGGATTTTCCTCTCAAATCTCGACGCTAAGCTCTTCGTCGTCAACGATTCATCTCCCCCTCGGCCCGACTCGGTGTCTGACTCGCTTTCGGCTTCGGATGTAAACTCGACCGTCTCATACGTGTCGTGGGGATTTCCATTTAAGTCTGTGAAGGGGCAACGTCGGAAATTCCTTGGATATCGAGGCTTCTGGGCTATCTCCATTGACAAACGTGCCATGTTAAGGGAAGCCTGCCCCGTACCATTCGGCTCCGCAGTTCCATCTTGGGCGGATTCTAGCCTCGCGTTCTCTGCCGCGATTCGTCTCTCGTTCTCCAGCCGCCTTCTGAGCTCCTGCATGAGGCGAACTCTCGTTAAAGACCTCGCCTCGAAGGTCGAAACGAGAAATTCGTTAGTTCAAAGCAGCATGTCTGAGATGAGCAATTGGTTAGTCTTCGGTCCCTCGGATGCCCTGCGACTAGGCCACTAATCATTCATCATCACTTGACAGCCGGATTTTCCAAGGACAGCGGGAATGTTGCACAAAGGAAACGCATATCTCTAGGCGATGCGAATTTGAGAGCTCACATACATCTCTGCAGCTTAGCCGACCATGCCGCGGGGAACAATCTCCTCCAGACATGCGACTCGTCAAGGGGTTTCATTCACGAGCTCTTTGAGAATTCCGAGGAGGCGCTCTCCGCCCATAATTCCAGCGGGACAGTAAGCTTTGGGACAACGCTGTTCCGTGCGATAAGTAATCATCGCTCGCGGAAGTCATGGGAAGGTGGCGGGGACGCGGATCCTCTGTTCGAATTTTTCCGGCGAGAACCATCTCTGGAACTTCTGAGATTTCTTCTCGATGACCCCCCCCCGTCCGTCGTGACAGATCGACACGGAAAAATTTCGGCAGCCAAACCTCAAAATGCATCGCGAGAAACTGCTAACTATCGATTCGCGGAGGGAGGGAGACCGACTTCAAGTCAACGGAGCCTCCGAGATGTTAGAGATCGCGCAAAGTTCCCCTAGCGTGGGTTGATTCTCGGGAGTAGTTTGGGAATGGCAAGACTGAAAGAGCTTCTGTTGTGCAGAGGTCAGTCATTGTCTCGCAGGCTCCATCCAGCCGATAATTTTTCCTGCTTTTGCTCCATTCATCAACTGCACGGCCCGGACAATTTTTCCCGCATGCCTCGTTGGATACCAGTACGCGTCGCGAGCACCTGCCCACAGAAAGTCATGCAAAACGTCGCAAAGCATATTTTTTCCTCCTGTATACGCACAGTTCCCGCTTGGACCTGCGGGAAATCTCATTTCTATCTAATACAAGAAATCTCCTGATGTTTTAACAGCTGAAAATTCCTCGCTGTCTGTAGTACCTCTTCGACCGCTCGTTGCTGCTTGACGAATTCGTAATCGAAACCGTCGACTCCCCTCGATGCTTTCCGGCCGTCCTTCGCCGAATCCGGGGCGCTTCCTCTGCGTGTGCTTTCAGATGAGTTTTTCTTCCCCTCAGCGGCTCTGCTGGGACATTTCACTGGAAGAGCAGCCAAGCCATGGAAGATCAGATTGATTACACCAGTCCCCGTGAGGGACGTGGGGGACGCGCTCGATGAAAGAAAAATCGAGATTCTTCTACCCTCGAGAATCGACTGTTGACACGCTGTCCCTGCGTGCCGGACCTACCTTCCGGCGTAGGTGTATTTTTCTGGGAAAGGGTCTTCTGGCCGTCTGGGAGATCGGTCTGCTGGTTCTCTGGCACGGTATCTTCGAAAGAAGTCTTACAGCACACTTCGCAAACGCGGCTGCCAGCTCGGTTGATGAGAGTACAGTGGATACACGTCCACGGTTTGGATGGACTCCAACGGATTCGCGGAGGACTTCTTTCCTTACTTCGAAATTCGAGCGTGTCGGGAATTTCCTGAACGCGAGCCTTCACTTCCGCCGACTTGAATGCGTCGCTCTCGTCTATTTTTAGATCTGAGGCTCTATCGATTTGTCCCCGCGCGGAGTTTCTCGGAATACTGGATTGCTGAACCGTCCGACGGTGTCTGGGAGGCGACATGGGAGCCCTCGACATTTTTTCGAACTCATCCCGAGCGCTCTGTTCGTAAGAGGACTTCCGGAGGAAGTTTTTCGCAGGTGGGAGAGGAAGCTCGGTGTCGTCATCGTCGGCAGCGGCAGAAGCACCGTTGCGGTTTTCCATGAACGACGCGGGATCGACGTACTCGTCCTCATGGATCTCGAGTGGGGAACCACGTCTCTCGAACCGCCGTGGAGGCTGAATTTCACTCGAACGATGCTGTCTGACCTCATCAAACTCTTCCGCGTCGGATGCGCCGTGAGAACGCGCTCTCGAGAAGCCGTCGGAGCGAGCTCGCCGATTTTCATGGATCGCGGCGCTGCTCCTGCTGTTCCGCAAACCGAGTTGTCCTGCTGCAATTGTTTGTCATCCGTAAGACAAACCGCCGAACCCAGACGAGAAAACCGGTCCATTCCGCCTCCTTCCGACAACCCTCACCTTGTCGAGCTTGATCCCGGTCGTTAGAATGCGTTCGGGGAACCTGACGAAAATCAGACCGCGAACGTGACCTCGGTACGAAATCGAGGTCGGAATCCGATGTCTCCGTTTCGGGCCTGGCGCTGCGTTGTTTATTCCGGTTTTGGTAGTACCTTCAAGGGATTAACGATTCGATGACATTCCCGGAGTTTCTCATCGACTCGAAGGATCTCATTTGGGCTCTCTACGCTCTTGGACTCCATTCACGACTCTCACCATATGGCTCGATTTGCATCCATATTGGACAAATTCGCTTGACTCCGACAAGCGTGAGGATTCGCTTTGACTCCCAGAGCATCCACGCTCTGATCCGAGCCCCACTGGCTGCCGGCAGCGCTGCCACAAAAATACGGAGGCATGCCAGGATATCCGAACGCTGAAAATCAATTTCCAGGAATGCCATCGGCTCCCAGGGCTCTGACGAATGTTTGCTCCTTCCCGCACTCGCTCGAATTATACGCCCGTTCCAGGAGGATAGAGTATTACATGGACAGACACAAAGGGGAATGTACCCACTGAATAATCGCGGATCGTTGGGAAGGGGGGTTCGGCTAGATTCCTTTGGAGCCCCGATGCGAGGACATCTGGGCTCTTGAGGCTTTTGCGGCTCTCTAATTGGATCGAATCTCTGGAGAGACTACGTACCTTGTGGTGGCACATAAGGATATGCCATGTTATTCCACTGGTTGGCTGCGAAGCTTTGACAACGTCTCATGGAGGCTGCGTTCGCTGCCGCAGCCGCTGCGGCAGCCGCCTTCACGCTCGAACTTTGAGGATTTCTCATAGGCCGCCTGGATGTCGATTCTGAATCCGTGTCCCTCCCTTCGCCCTCAGCTGATGAATTGAGGTTCGAGAACGAGCCCGTTGAACCTTGGAAGGACAATTTCCGTGACCTCACCTCGGAACGCTCACTCATTCATCCCTCGGAATCAACAGCAGTGGCTCACGCGGCGGAAAAATCCATTTGTGAGAGGAAGGAAGAAAGACGCCGCATCCACGAACAAAAACTCAGTAGTTCCGGAAGCTTCGCTCACCAGCATAGCCCCAAGGCTGTGGCATCATTCGCGGATCATTGAGATAAGACAAACTTCCGTAAGGTACGGGAACAGCACCGAAAGGAGCCCCGAAAGCCGGCATGAAGGGTCCGCCAATATATTGAGGATAAGCCTGCGGTGACATCCTAGAAAGATCCATCATGGATTGATGGCGGTTCATCGGCGCCCTAGGAGCACAGGAACAAGTATTAGAACGGTCTCTTGAGCGAGACCCCACGAGCGGGCCGAATAGACGCTCGGTCGTTTTGGTATCGATATTGTTCCGGACGTAATTCAAGCTCGAGACGTACATTCGGTCGGGATACATCCGATTCACCTGAAGGTTGCTACTGATGTCTCTCTCGCTTTCCCAATCGGATATGTCCTGGAGAAGAGCACGCGAATGAAACATGAGCTCGAGGTCGCTTATCGGTTAGCGGTGACGAGTTAGCCCTCCGCTCGACTTCATCGTGGACAGAAATCTCTCAAGGACGTGTTCACGAATGAACAACAGTGTGTCCAAGGGGGAAGTTCCGTTTTCAAAGTCTATTTCCATCGTGACGGTCGATGGAGATTCATTTTTTACAGCGCCCAAAAGTTCGAAGGAGAAAAATAACACAGCCCGACAGCCAAAATCTATCAGAGAAGTGGATACTCATTTTAGGGTAAATCGGGGTCCCTGATCACGAATCCGGCGTCAGAAAATTCGAAAAGGCTCTAGTTTTCGAGTTTCAACGGATATACCGAAAAAAAAAATTTAGAGCAGGTTTGGCTACGAGCCAAACCGATGTTTGCGTAGAACTACGTCGATTCGTTTGAAGGTACAAAATAACTATAAGCGAACGATGGCTGAAGTTCTTCGAATAATTTCTAGGTCGACGCGCTAGCAGAAAAAAAGAGAATTCGGAAGTCCCGAGACCTGGGATATCCGCTTTGATTCTCTCCAGAAATCTAAGAAAGTTCCTTAACCGGTTCAAACTGGTTAGAAATGCGGGTCAATTGTGTCGATTCGGAAGGTTCACTGTCCTGGAAGTTCGCTCTCCGAGGCGTTCGTCAACCGTGAGCCCACTGTGGTGGGCCGCTCCTTCCAGTTTCTCGAATGACGGAGGTACGCCGACCGCTGCTTCTGTAGAGTGGATATGTGGCCTCGTGGTCGCTAGATTCTTCCCTCCATCGCCGGTCGTTCCTCGTGATGACCTTTCACGTAGAGCGTAGTCGGTGTTGGACTCCTTTTCACTTCATGACTCAGAGACCGACCCGCCACTCGGTCCTGGTCTCTCTTACATTCGCGTCGCGGTCAGTGGACGAGGGGGATCGTATGCAACCGATCCGATTGTCTATGGCGAGATGATCCGACGATGCTCGATTACCGTAAATCCCCTAACAGCAGCCACCCTCCAATGGAAACCCCTCTCTAATAAAGGCCCCCCTGCCGGACCTTTTGGGAAAATAAAAGCACCCCTCCATAAGGAGCCTCTCTTCAATAGAGGCTCCCCTCCAATAGGAGCCCCTCTCTACTAGGAGACCCCGCACTGCCGGAGTCGGCCGAGGACAAGCTGACGTGATAGAATCTGGACTGCGACGGCCAAGGATTTCCACCCAGACCGGGAACACGCTCTCCCCCAGAAATTCATCATCAATTCCCCGGAGCAGGATTTCTCTTGGAATGTTAGAAACCCCCCTCCAATAGTAGCCCCTCTCCAATAGAAGCCCCTCGCCGGAGGTATTTGAAAAAACGGGGAGGTAGTAGCGAGCTATTACCGTATGTTCGCGTGAAAACGTCTCTCGCGTATTGCTTGAAGCTGGCGGTAGGTGATCTAACTTTCTGTGTTTTTTAGACTATGAAGATGATGAGACTTATGAGCGGAAGAAATACGGATCCTGCATATAGGCGGAATATTTGATGTTTCCACACTCTGAAACAATTACCGCACAGCTTGAAAAGCGTGGTATCCTCGTCCTCGAAATGGCCCCGAAACATCGCCGAACTAGGATTCACTGTTTTAAGATGGCGGAAAAACCAGAGGCGATTACGGACGTCGCGTTTATGCCCGGACTCGTTGTCAAGGAATATATTTTTGAATCGCTGTGTCCGCTGTTTCTATCCGTAAACCGTATCCCTCAAACATTCGGCACCTCCATCGAAATTCGCAGCATCATTTCTGAGGACACTCAGCTCATTTTTACCATCGCTGTCTTGACGGATGAAATGTACCGATTTTTGCTGACTCACATTGCCATCTTCAGGCATCAAACTCAGCGCACCAAGATCTCCAGTGATGGCCTCTAGTGACTGGGTAATTGCACGACGACGAGCACGAGTTTCTCGTGCTCTTTCCGTCGATGTTTTCGGCCGTTTCGCAACTGCTTCTGACCGCCCCATATTTTCGGCTACCCCTGCTTTCCGCTTTTCTCGCATGATCGTTCTTGTCTTCGGTCTCATGGCTAACACCAAGAAATGAACCCTTCTTCGGAGACTCAGCTGCACACTTCGTTATAATCTATCGAATCTCGGCGAAACCTCCGTTTACAATTTCGGTCGGACGAATTAAGCTCAACTCAGAACCCTGTTCGAGATCCTTCTCCGATCAGGATCCTAAATGCAGGGAACTTATTTGATACGCGGTCTGAAAATAGATGAAGAAAACCTGCATAGCTGCAGCGGTTTCTCCACCAGAGAAAGGGATAGGTATCCCTACGAGCTAGATTATTCCCCGGACAAACAGTCTTGAGTCACTTACACTTCATGTACTCACCGATATACATCAGAACCCTACTCCTTTCAGCTGCTTGAGCCGACCATTCTCCCCTTATTCTAGAAAACAATCATTCATAGTGCTCAAGAGAGGTTTTCGAGGGTCGACAGAAATCGTCCAATGGAACCTCCTTCTCAGTTCAGTTCCGGACGAAAATTGATCGGGACAATGTCCCGTAAAGCAATCTTTCGACCCAATCCTCGTGATAATCCGATGCCTACCAGCGGAGATTCAGCCCCGCAAAAGCGGGGTAGATTTCGCTGCATGGAGGACGAAGTTTCTTTGACCGGCTACTAGAGACATTTTAAAAACGTTTCACGTCAAAACTAG